TTTATTGATTTCAGAGAGGAAGGGAGAGGGGGAGAAACATCAATGATGAGAGAGAACCATTGATTGGCTGCCTCCTGCAGGCCCTTGACCAGAACCAAACCTAGGACCCTTGAGTCCACAGGCCAATGCTCTATCCACTGAGCCAAACCAGCTAGGGCCACTTTAAGCGCATCAATCCTGGGTTGCCATTATATTGGTTTGTTGAAGTTTTTGTTGTTGTTTTTGAAACTCTTTGGTGGCATTTCCCAAGTGAAGTCTCAAGGATCATGTCCATTTATGTGTGAAGCCCCAACAAGCTGAAAGGGGATATTGAGGTCATGTGATCTACTCAATATGTGATTTTAGAACATACCTCATTTTATTGTGCTTCGCAGATATTGCATTTTTTACAAATCAAGACCCTTAACCAGCAAAGAGATTACTACTTCCTTTTTTGCAATGGCCTGGAAACGAACTCACATTATCTCTATGTCTATATGACTAGTTCAGGGAAGCCATGTTGAAACTGGGGTTTCTGAAAACCACCCCCAAGGCCACTAAGTCAGAGAGACATCGCCTTATGTTCATCAATTTATTTGTCACTATGCCGAAAGGTTAAGATGCTGTTATTATAGCTGCTGACGTCGTAATTATCCCCCAAAGCAGAGTTTGTAAGAACCTGTTTTCTGGAAGAATGTCTTTCCCTATATGGGTTGATATTCAACATCAGCTTGTTTTTATTTTTATCTTTTTGTTGTACATTATCTCTCACTGCCCTAAACACAGGCGCACCACACACACACACACACACACACACACACACACACACACACCTTTCAGACTGTGGCCTCTGGGCGAGCCAAGCAGACTGCAAATGAAACTGCCCGATGGAGCAGCACAGACAGGCATTCCCTTTGGTTTTCCTCCTTCCAACACGCCCTCAGGAGCACTCAGCGGTGAGTGAGGTGAAGATAAGGACGGGTGAGGTGGAGAATAAATGCAACCCCAGACCTCCTCCCTGGAGGCCATCTTCTCAGAGAACCTCCAAAGCCCGCCCCGCAAGCTGTTAAGTCAGACCAAGCCTCATGTTTCCCGGGTGTCATGAAGGCTGCAGAAGTCATAGAAACCTACTTACCACTGTCAAAACGCATCTGTTGGCAGGAAAGTTTGTGGCAGGCATTCCACGGCTCCTATCTGTGCGGAAACTGGCTTCCTATTTAAGAGAAAATGGGCTTGTTACTCCTAAGCAGAGATGCCCATGGTGTGGGAAATTACAGGAGCCCGGCTGACCTGGCCAGGAGGTGGTGCCGCTCAGCACCTGAAGGCGAGGGGAGCCCCGGAAATCTAAGCAGAGGCCCCATCTGCCAGGCTGCAATGATGGTGCTATTTGGAGGCAGAAAGGTTGGTCTGGAGCAGCTGGTTCCTCGCCAAGTGACCTTTTAGCGTTTCTGCTTTTGCTGCCTGACAGATGTGTCAACTCAATCATTTCAAAAGCCCCAGAGTAAATAACCAATCGTGAGCGAGGATGACCCAAAGTGATGACACAGGGGCTGCTGCGCGCTGCACAGCGCGGGGCACAATACCCAGGGACGCAGCCAGGAACATTAGCAGAAGGAGGAGGACATGTTAGCCTTTAGTTTGGACTAAATGGCTCTCCTACCTTCACATCAGTTGCTTTGAAGGGGTGAGGAAAAGGGAAGGGCGGGCTGAACGCCAGCGCTTCGCCCTTGGAAGACCGGCCTGCGCTGGATGCGGGGCTCAGGCGTGGGGTGAGGCGGGGGGGTCCGCTCTCACTCCCACAGCTGGGAAGCGCCAGGTCTGCGCAATTGGCAGCGCGGAAGATTGAGGGGCTGGGGAGGGGCCGGGAGAGGCAGCTGCAATCAGGTCAGGTCTGATGGCACTTCAAGTCTTGCAAGGAGTTTGTAGAGGCAGCGCAGGTGCTGCTGGGCTGTTATCTTCAGGGA